CAAATAAGAAACTTGGTACTCTAACTGGATTAAATTTTCTTCACACCCATTACTTATTTTTACTTATTTCCAATTTAGATGAGTTTTGGCCACTCTGGTAGGTTTAGGCTGCAGATAAGTATTTAGGTTTACTTAGATATATGTCTGAGTTCTTTTTTTTATTTTTAAATTTAAAAAATAAACCTTTTTTGTTTATATTAGAAGTTTTTGTTAAATCTAATAAAGATAAGGCATGGCTTACCTTTAATATTAAAAAAATATATATATATTTAGAGAAATACTCCAGATATTTAAAATAATAATTTTTTTTAATATTATAAGAATACTCTGGGCATATAAAATTATTAATATTTTTATTTAAAAATTATAATAAATATTATAATAAAAAAGAATTTAATTAAAAAACTCAAAAATAATAGTATTATTACTTAAACTATTCAAAATTTTTTCTGTTTTTTAATTTTATTTGATAAAAATTTAAGGTTTGATATCTATAATCTTAATAAAAAAATCATAGAAAACTTAAAATTAAATAACTTTTATTATTATATATTTTTATAAATTATTAATTAAAATTTAAACTTTACTAAGTAGTAACTAAATTTTTTCTTTAAAAACATATAAAATTTAAAGAAACTTTTTAAAATTTTAATAATAAAATTAAAAAGTTAGTTTTATTAAAATTGTAATATCTTTGTCAAAATTAAAGATAAATAATAAAATTTAAATTTTAGATATCTAGTATAATATTAAATTTCTATTTTGCTATATTTTAGAACTAAAAATAATAATATATAGTTAAACCTCGATATAATCACCAGCTTGGGAAACAAAAGTCTAGTGATTATAAAAAGTAGTGATTATATAAAGGTCAAATTTTATATGTTTTATATTAGCTCGAGTTAAAAAATAGAGTGATTATATCAAGGTTGTGACATATCAAGAGTGACTATAACGAGGTCTGACTGTATATTTGTTATTAAAAATCGTACAAACTAAAGCACACCAAACATTTTTGGACAAGCATTCGAATGAAATTGTTATGACAATCATTATATGATATAAAAATATATAGCTTATTTTATTATAAGGATCATGCTGAATCAATAACAACCGGATCGGCTGAAAAACCATTCGGCAAATTTTTTACATGTGTCCCAGGAATTTTGATAATAGCTGTAACAAAGACGACTTTTGAGTCGATTCGGGACCGGACCGGATTTTTCACATCCCTACTACTAGTGAATTGACCCGTTCAATCCGGGTGACCCGTCGGGCTGATCCGGATGTAACCAAAACATTAGTGATTGGCTGGGAATACCCGTCAGTATACCCCCGGATCAGCCCGACGGGTCACCCGGGTTGAACGGTTACATGTATAGAGATGCTGGTACTTATGTGTAGGGCATCGTACCCGAAACGCGTTTTTTTATTTATCTGTTATTATCTAATCAATCTAACATTACATCATTACTGCATTATACACGTTCAAACACACGTGTTTTGCAGATCTCAGAACAATAAAAAAGACTGCTTTGTTATGATATTTTTTTTTTGACCTCTTTACACTTTTAGCTACGACCTCACACTTTTAGTTACGACCTCTTTACACTTTTAGTTACGACCTCTTTACACATTTAAGTTAACACTCTTTGTGATATACTTTTTTTAGTTGACACTCGTTACCTGTTATGTTTTTTAATACCGTTACGACGTTTCTGTATTTTCGTTAACAGATGAGTATTAATTCATGAGTAAATTTATTTATGGGGTTTCTTTTTTTATATTTCACAAAGGACCCGCCCATGTATACCGTCCCTTTTAGGCGACACTAAAGCTCTTGGACGAAACACGTGGTCGTTTGAGGGGCGAACGTTTAGAATGTTTATATATTCTTATTATGTTCGCTCGTGCTATAGTGTTGAAAAATCGGTATTCTGGTTAGATTCTTTTCTTATATATTTCAAAAGGTCTACCCACATATACCGTTCCTGTTAGGCGGCATTAATGCTCTTGGGTGAAACACGTGGTCATTTGAGGGGCGAACGTCTAGAATGTTTATATATTCTTATTATGTTCGCCCATGCTATTTTTGTTGACAAATCGGTATTGGGGATAGATGACATTTACTTATTTTTTTTTTTTTATTACTAGGTAGATGGTTTACTTCGGTTCATCGATTAATTGGTATTGATTAAAGAAATTCGGTCGAAACGAGATTAATTTTATAATTTCACGTTTATATCTTTTATGATTTTTATTATGTATATATAAAGTTTGAAATAAAAATAATAAAGTTTTGTTATTATATATTTTAAATACTATAAGTTGCTTTTTTTACTTGTATCATTGTTATTTTGTTTGATGTTAATAATAATCGCGATAAAAGTTAATTACTCGAAGGTAGATTTTGGTATAGAACTTGTGTTTTACGGAAATTATTTGGCTTAACGATTTGTGATTAAAAATAAATTATATTAAAAAAATTTTGTTAAACTATAAATATAATGATTATATAATTTTGGCAAAATTTAAAAAGAATTCATTATTGTCTAGAGCTAGGGAGCGTGAAGCCTTACTCTACGAAATTTTTCGAAATATCTGATTCCTGGTTCAATTGATCCTGATTAAAATATGACGAGTTTTAATAAACGTTTATTAATCAATAAAGTTATATGTAATGTTTATTTATTTTAATCTTTTAAATATCTTAACAACCATCGAACAAATCCAATAAAAATTATTTTAAATATCGAATTTAAATACAGTATTTGTTGTTTTTTTTTAAAAAAAAAAAAAAAAAAGAAAAAATAAAACTAGTAATCATCTACATATATAGTAAAAATCATTATCATAATAGAAATAAAAGTACTATATTTTTTTATAAATTTAATAACAACGTGGCTTATAACTCTGCTCTAACTCTAAGCCTACAACTAACACCTAGTCTTTAATAATAACAAAATTTTTAGTGTTTTTTTTTTTTGTTAATGCTTTCTCTAGAGGCCTTTAACCTAAAAACTCAAGTTTCAATCTTTCGAGTCAGAATTAAAATATTTGTTAGGGTAAACATCATCAATTAAATTAATATTTTAATACTTCATTTTTTTGATGACGTAAGTGATCAAAAGCAGAATAGCAGCACCAACGACGCCTTTAAAAGCTACGTTTCTAGTTTTTGAAGGTTTACTGAAAAACAACAAAGATAAAATTTTCACATTAAATTCGGTATATGGTGGATAACGAGATTTAACAAGTTTCTCCAACGCAAATGGTGTGGTCATAACGGCTCGCTCATGGGAAAATGTGTTAAAGGATCGTTTGCCATGGTAACTTCCTATTCCAGATGGTCCTTGACCACCGAATGGCAAATCTTTTACTAATAAATGAGATAAGCAACAAAAAAATATGTTATCTCAAATGAAATCATTTATAGAGTAATTTTAATTCGCCACACATTAACGTACCAGTGAAATGCATAAGACAATCATTAATAACAACACCACCAGATCGAGTATTATCAAGAACTAATGCAAGTTAAATGTAGTTAAAGTAAAAATACGTAAATAAATACGACTATAATTACAGAATAATTCTAATTAAACTTACTATGCTTAACAGTTTTATCACTTTTACTAAAAGGATAAAGAGCCAAAGGTATGTCTCTTGAATTCACATATTCAATCGCCTCATCAAGATTTTCAACAACAACTATAGGGAGAATAGGACCAAAAATCTCATCTTCCATTAATTTATCATCCTTAGGAACATCGGCTACTATCGTAGGTGAAATATATAAATCATCTCTGTCGAAATTGCCACCATATACGATTTTTCCCTTAGTTTGATTTAATAAATTTTGCAATCGATCAAAATGGTTTTTATTGATTATACGGGAATAATCCGATGTACCACTTTGAGGATCAGGTCCATAAAATTGTTCGATAACTTTAGGCGCTTCTTTGATAAAAGCATCTTGAACTGCTCTTTCGCAGATAATATAATCAGGTGCAATGCATGTCTTATTAAAAATGAAACTGAAATTAATTTATAATAAATTATAAATAATTTATTGAAAACATGAAATTACCTGGCCACAATTAACCATTTTACCCCAAAGTATACGTTTAGCCGATATAGGAATGTCTACGTCATTCGAAATAATCGCTGGAGACTTTCCACCAAGTTCAAGAGTGACAGGAGTCAAATGTTCAGCTGCAGCAGACATAATGATCTTGCCAACTTTACCAGAGCCGGTATAAAATATATGATCAAACCTATGCTTCAACAAAGCAGTAGTTTCAACGACACCACCACTCACAATGCGATAAGCATTTGGATCAAGATACTTTGGAAAAAGTTCGGAAATAAGGGTAGCGGTGTGTGCAGAAAGCTCGGAAGGTTTGAGAATTACAGTACATCCGGCAGCAATTGCACCGATAAAAGGCATAAAAAGAAGGTTAATAGGATAATTCCATGTGCCAATTATCAGGACGATTCCTATACAATTATATAATTATTAAAATCGCATTATATATACTATATTACTGTCATCCATCTTCAATGTTAATACTCTGCTAGTAATATTATATTGTCTACGAAACTATTTTTCTTTACGTAAATTCATTCATAGATAAATAACAACCTACCAACTGGTTCTTTTCTCACATGGCACTTGTTCAGCATGTGTCCTACGTTCACTTTTACATAATCTGGCTCAGCCCAGCTTTTGAGGTTCGAAATTGTATCTAAAGTTTCTTGCTTAACCCAACCTATTTCACCCACGAAAGCCTCATGTTTTTGTTTATGAAGGTCTTTGTACAAAGCATCATAAATTGCTTGCTCATTTTCATCAATCATACGATAAAAATTTCTTAATTGCTTTTTTCTATAGCTTAAAGGTTCTGTTAAGTTAGAACGGAAAGATTTTCGAAGTTCTTGGACGATCTAAAATATGTTAATTCGGTCTGAATTTTCAAAGTTATTTAATCGTTGAATAAAATATTAATTCATACCTGAGGTAATTCATCTATGTTCGTATGAATTAATGTCATTTTGAAAATCAAAAGGATCGATGTGTAAGAGAATTTGGAGAAATTCTTTGGCTACATATTTATATATATATAAAAAAAACTGCCATGCTATATACAGTATATATTAACAAATAGATATCCAAATCGAGATTCTAAATCTCATGTGTAACCATAATTAAGCTATCTTCGAAATCATACAAGTGATCTTCTCAATTCCCCCCCCCCCCCTGAAAATGACCCCTTTGTATTCTCTTTCGTCATACAATTCAAATTTTGGATAAATTCCCAATGTCAAAAGAAATTCTTCACCAGTTCCGCTTAATTTCTCATTCAGAAGTGGTTATCATTTTTGTCTTTATGTCATAGAAGAAGTCCTTTAGTGCCATATTCATATTATAGCCACACCAAAGACAGGCATTACCGCTTACGTACAATTTTTCTGAGGAGTAGTTAACGCATATATTTGAATTTATCGAGAAATAATTAATTATTGTTGTGGCAACATTAAATCATACGATACATTCTTTTATCAATATTGATACTCTTAAAAATAATGGCCTTAATGCAAAAAAAGAAACGTTTTACCTTTTTTGGTTCTCCGCCAAAATCACCTACTGTTGGCTCTTCATTTTTTACTAGTTACATTCCCTCTCAAGATAACCAAGAATTGAAATATCCGGTATTAGATGATGTGCGTAAAGCGGAAAACAATTTGGAACGCCTGGTGATGGCAGCCGATGCTTATCGAGATTTAATGGATAGATTAAGCAAGGCTTCTAAGCATTTTAGTAAAGCTTTAAAGGATTATGGAAATGGAAAAGGACTAGATACTACGTATGGTTAGTATTTAATATTTCTATAAATATTTAGCAATGTTCGAAAAACTTTTTATTAATTATTGAATTATATAGCTATGTGCATGCAGACCTCATCTCAGTTTTATGAAAATCACGCAGATGTTTTAGGAAAATTGGTATATATCAAAACAACTGTACTTTTTTTTTTTTTCTTATTCACCGTGAATTAACTAAACTTTGCTTAATGACCAAATAGAATAAAGCTTTACAAAAAGATTTTGATCTACTTCAAAAACTTTGGGATAAGTACTCAAGAAAATCAGCCGTAAGTTAAACATTTTGTATTATTATTATGATTATTTACTTTTTTATAAAAATTGAAACTAATATTTATTAATAATTGTACAGAAAGATGAAAAAGCTCATAATGACTATGTTGGCGACCTAGATAGGCAAATTAGAAAAATTGGCAAGGATTATGAAAAGAAATCAAAGAGAGATAATCAATCAGGTTTAGAGCTATACGATGTAAAGATTGAATGAGTTTATAT